GGGCTCCTTCCAGAAAGAGGAGACTGAGGAGCAAATCCATAGTTAAAACACCTAGTCTGAGAAGATGAGATGCAGGCACGTCCCAAAATTAATAAACCTTATTCTAGCCAGTCTGATAAAGAGAAAAGACAGAAATTAATCAATTTAAGTGGATATCACAGATCTTGCAGACATTAAAAGAATATTGAATTAAAAGAATTAAAAGTAAGAATTAAGTAAGAATTAAAAGTAAGCTACTTTAAGCCAGTAAATTCAGTAACTTAGGTGAAATGGACATTCCTTGAAAGACACAAATTAGCAATCTGACTCAAGAAGAAATAGAAAATCTATACAGTCCTATATCTAAAATCTTCTCCCAAAGAAAACTTTAAGCCAAGATGGCTTCACTGAGGTCTTATTGAGCATTTAAGAAATAATACCAATCCTGCACAACTCTAAGTTTATTTGTAAGTTTTGCCTCTGGTAAAAGGATTTAAAATATTAGGAAACAAGTCAGGGCTATTTTGGGCAGGGCTGTTTTGAGACCCCTGAAATCCTGCCTCAGATGTTCCCTCCTCCTGCAGGCTCTCGGGGAAGGGAAGGCCAGTGGTGCGAGGCCTAGGTGTGGAGACGGGGGCCAGGATTAGAGATGTGAGAGTACCTCCAGGAGCATGCAGGTGGGCTGTGGGGAGGGCCCCAGTCCAGGCTGTGACTCTCCTGCTGTCCAGCTACCAGTGTTCCTGAGAGTGCGACTCTTTTGGAGTTGGTGGAGACAGTAGTAGTTAAATGGATAGAGTTGATGAAGGTTGTCTAAATAGGTTCCAGGCTAGGCCTTGAGGTGCTCCAGAAGATGCCCCATGCTGAGAGGGACTTGGGAAGGGGAAGGGCTGTTAAAGCCTGGATGTGAATAGGAATGGCCACAGGTGTGTGTCCTGGGCCAAGGGTCAGACTCTGATGTGCACTGGGCCCAGAGGAGCGAGAGGGCCCTTCGCCTGGGGATGTCAGCTGCCTTGAGAAGGTGGCCTTGGGGTTATCAGAGTGGACATTTTAGGATTGGAGACAAAAGGTTGGATGTGAGAATGTTCTGGACAGAGGCCAGTGTGAATAGGGTACAGGATGGGGGATGGGGTCTTGGATTTGGGAGACTGCACTGCCTCGGGCCAGGCAGGTGGGATTAAGACAGATGGCTGTTGTCCTGGGGGTTTGGGAAGCTAATGGAGCTTAGAGCAGAGACTCCGGAGATGTGACTGGTATCTGCAAAGAGGAGGCCAGCAGATGTGGATGGATAAGGTGGAGAGAGACTTAGGGGAGATGGGTTGGAGAAGGGGGGAAAGTGCAGGAGGCAGCTGCATTCTCCAGAGTGGGGGTGATGGTTGGCTGGCAGGTGTGGCTGGAGGGGAGTAGTGGGGGCTTGGTTGTGGCGGGGACCTAAGGAGGTGGCAGAGGAGAATAGGGATTGGGAAGGAGGAAGAGAAAGAAGTTTGGAAGGGGTGTATGTAAGGGAGGGCTGAGGCATTGAGTCTGATTTAAATGTCTGAGGATGGGCGAGGTGTCTCTAGGTTCCCAGTGTACCCAGGCCCTGCCTGCTCTCCTGGTGGTGTCCACCAGGGCCTAGACCTGGGCCTGGGCTGGCTGTGGCTGCATCTGAGTACACATGGCCAGATCTGAACCTCATAGGGAGCACAGGAGAGGTGGCTGGAATCAGAGCTGTTTTTAGAAACTTAATGGCATTCTTGATAGGCTGTTTCTTGTCTCCTTGGCAAGAACACAGGGCCAGGATAAGGCGGACCTTGACCGAAACCTGCAGCTACCACTGACCGGTTCTGTGACCTTGGACAAATCTTTTCTTTTTCCCTTTGCCTGACAGCCATTTCCCTGGTTTCCCCCTGGGTTAAATCGAGGACCCTGCAACTGGCTAGCCTGGAAGCCCTTCAGTTCTGAGGTTCTTTGAGTCTCTCAGGCAGGGTTGAGCTTCCAGGCTGGTCTGCACCTCCATCCACCCTCCCAGGCAGTCAGGGTCCTACCTGGCCCAGACCAGGATCACCCAAAAGCTATTTTCCTTCCCATGAGCACTCATTGTGCTCACTGTGAATCACTTTTTTTTTTTTTTAAGATAGGGTCTCAGTCTGTTGCCCAGGCTGGGGTTAAGTGGTGTGATCATAGCTCATTGCAACCTCAAACTCCTGGCTCAAGCGATCCTCCTTCCTCAGCCCCCCAAATAGATGGGACTGTAGGCGAGTCCCACCACATCTGGCTGATTTTTCTATTTTTTTTTGTAGAGATGGGATTAGGATCTCACTATGTCGTTCAGATTGGTCTTGAATTCCTGGCCTCAAGCAATCTTCCTTCCTTGGCCTCCCGAAGTGCTAGAATTACAGGCAAGAGCCACCGTACCCAGCTCTTTAATCACTCCTTAACAGGAAGACTAGAGCACTCCTTGTACCCCTACTTATGTGCCTGTTCATTTGTTCACCTACTCCTTGCCTTAGATGTGTATCTTTATCTTTCCTGAGCCCCTGCTCTTTGCACAGCATACCAGGTTGGGGTCATCCTTAACTTCACCCTGTCTGCACAGCTAGTGCTGCACCCCACCCACCACACTGCTGGGCACTTTAAAAAAATGTTATTATGTTGGTTGTTTTCTCACTTATTAATGAATAACTTGGCCTTTGCTGAGGCACTTGAGTGTCTCTGGGCCTCCAAGAGGGTGGTGGCAGTGGTTTGACCTTGCTCCAGGGCTGGGGAAAGGTCATCTTATTTGTAAAGCACTCCTCCCAAAGGCTGCTCCCTTTCCTGCAGTTCCTTCCCTCTTCTGCCCACTGATTCTGGTTAACAGAACCTCTGTGGAAAGAGGCCTTCCTGCCAGGCTGGGGACCTTGCCCATCCAGCCCACTTTGGGGAAGGCAGAGCCCTTTCTGCTCTTTTGTCTCTGCTCTTACTCCCCAAGGGCAGGGGCTTCAGGGGGTGGCCTTCAGAGAGTCTGCTAGCTGTCAGTTGGGAAGAACTTTTTGTTAGACTGTCTAGGCTTCTGGCTTGCTTTGGCTAGCCTTTAGTCGGGGAGGTATGCGCATGTCAGCTGGGCCTCTGTGGGAGCCCTTTGGAGAATCCTAACTTGTTTCTCAGTTAAGTGTTTGTACTCTGCTCTCCCTTCCTTCTTTGCTATCATCAAGCATATGCCTCTGTGCTCCAGGGCCTGCTTGGCCCAGCAAGGGGGTGGGCAGGATCTCTCTCCAGTCTCTCCTTTGGCTCTGGTTGCCTTAGAACACTGGCCGGGGCCCCTGTGATCAGCCCCCAGCTGCCTCGACAGTCTTACCCGGTGTTCAACTTCACCCCCCTGCTTCTCCATCACCTGCATGTTCCTCACACCACACCCTGCCTTTGCTCAAGCCGTGCCCCCACCAGAATGCTCTTTCTACTCCTGTCTCCCCATCCTGTAACACCCAAATTCCGCCCATCCGTCAGTCCCTCACCCATCCCCCGAGAACCTTGTTGACCCCTCTCACGTAGCTATTGTCACTTGGTTAGTGATTTTGTTGCTGTTGCCTCATCCTCGAGAGATGGAACTACTCCGAGTTGAGAGGGGAAGGGGCATCTTCACCTGTTTGTGTTATAGAGGCCTTTCTCTGGGCCAGGCTTCCAGCCCGGTTTTGGTGTTTTGCTCCCTGCTAAATTGTGTGGCCAAGAAACGGTGGGACCTAGTTGTTGCCCTCAGGGTCTCCATGATGCACACTGGCAGGAAGTGACACATGAAGCAAATGCCACTTTCGGGGAGACAGCTGTCAGTGGCATAAACAAACCTCTCGCAGAGGTAGTCCAGGCAGGTATTTTACTTATAATTTATGTCAGCTCCCCCTCATTCTTATATCCATCATTGCACGTTCCCTATGGAAGGAGCTCACAGATCTCTCTCAGAACATTGCTCCAGTGAGAGCCAAAGGCAGGTCACTGACAGTAATGATGCCAGTAATGCCAGTAAGCACTGACACCTCCGGGAGCCAGCCCTGGCATGCAGGGAGACCCGCGACAGGGCTGTGTCTGGGGGCCTCTCAGTCCATGCACTGGGCCCGAGGTGTGGTCACATGCGTTTTAACACGCACATGCACTCGCACACCCTGTGTGGCAGTTTGTGCTCAGGGCAGGCTGATTTAGCAACCGTGATAATGCAGGAAGGGAGAAAGCCCAGAAACACGTGTTCTGCTGCAGCTGGGAGCAGCGTGGCAATTTCCTTCTTTTGCGGCCCTCAGTGCACCTGGAGAACAACATACCATGTCAAGGTTGAGATGAGATGAACATGACTTTCCTAGACTTAGAAAAAAAGGTGGAGGTCGGGGGGAAGTCAAAAGAACCAGATTTAGAAGAAATTTCTCTCATAGAAACTTCAAACTAATTCCCCTTGCCTCTTTCTCCCGGAATATATTGCATGCCTGGGCAGTGAGTCTCATTACAAGCCTGGTCCTAATTTGAGTTATGTTACTTCTAAAGGGAACCAAATAGGTAATACTAAGACATCTCTGGCCTGGAAGGGGAGTCAGGAGGCCTGAGCTCCCATCCTTCTCTGCTACTGGTGACTGTTCTTTCCCCCAGTCTCTCGCAGCTCAGCAGGTGGCTCCATCCACACCCATGAAGTTGGCCAGTGGCCTGCCAGTGTGGGCCCTCTGGTACCAACCAGCTCCATTTCTCACCACCTAAAACCTTCCATCTCTTCCTGCCAGCGTTCACCAGGTGCCTGGGACCAGGCCAGGGTCGTGTATTTTTAAATTCTGCTTGGGCAGTGAGGGTAGGCAGTGAGGCTCCAGTGTTGTGCCTGTCAGATGCAGTAGGCAGGCTTGGGCAGTGAGGGTAGGCAGTGAGGCTCCAGTGTTGTGCCTGTCAGATGCAGTAGGCAGGTGCCCTGCTTGGAGGCTGGAACACCAAGCTGGTCCTTGCCAGGGTGTCTGGCTCCTGAGATGTCCTGTTCATCAGCGTGGACTAGAATTAGGAATGTCCATCTGAGCAGGTGGCTTTCCTCCCTTTCTTTGCAGGACAAGGAAGATGGGGAGCCAAAGACTAAGCAGCTCAGAGAAGAAGAGGAGGAGGAAGGCGAGAAGCACAGGTAATGCCCGAGTGGGGCTCTTGGCCCTACTCTCTCCCCCAGCACCCATAGGTCCCAAGATACTTACGTCTTCCCAGCCCTGTGTTCAGAGTCTCTGTCCTGGCCCCCACTCCCCCACAGCTGCTTTGTTCAGACCTGGAAATCTCAACCTTCTCACTCCTCGGGGCCTTCTCTGCTTTCTCTCCCCCATCTGTCTTTGGGCTTTCTCAACCATTCTATTTTCTTTCTAACCCTCTCATTATGTCTTTTCACTCGTCTCACGCACCTCTTGTGGCATGGTTCCACCGAGTCCACAAAATCAGGCCCGTCTTCTGTTCCTGGTGTGTAAAGCTCTGCCGGGGCCGTCTGGCCTCATCCAACCTCCTCTGGTTTCGCCTTAGCACCACCCACCCCGCGCACGAGGCATTTCCTGCCCAGCATTTTATCCGTCCATCTCTTTACACTGCCCCTTCAGCCTGGAGGTCCTTTTCTTCTCTCCTCCACCTTTGCCATCGCAAAGGCTGGCTCTCCTTCTCTTGTTTGTGCTCCCTGCCCCCTGGCTTTGCTCCCTCAGTGGTTCATTTAGAGTGTTATCTTCTTTTGCCAAATACTGTCATGTGGTTGACAACTAAAGTTGCCTAAACACAGAACATGTGAGGGGCTTGGGTGCCCTTCCCTCGTGGTTGCAGGCACGGGATCTTCCCCCAGTCTTGAGGACTGCGGCCTCGACAGAGTTTCAGAGGCTGTTTTGCCTCGAAAATCCCTGGGAGCTGTTTGCAGGAGCCAGCGTGTGGGGTGGGCATGCCGTGCGGCTGATCTTTGTGAGTTGTCTGACGAGCACCCACATGCCAGCAGTTCCTGAGGTCTCATGTCCTCCCTCCCACGCGCAGCCCTGAGCCGGGGCCCTCTGCCTGGGGTCAGACTGTATGTCTTGATTTCCTCTGCCCTGAGCAGCTTCCTTCAGGCAGAGGGCCTGTGCAGGCACCTGCCGACTTGGGGGGTGGATCTAGATGCGCTGAGCTGTGCGTTGAGGAGGGCAGTAGCGGGAGGGCGTGCTCCCTAGAGGAAGCTGGGCAGGCACATTGGAGCAGGCCTTCCTAATGCTACAGCCTTTTTTTGCCTTCACCAATGTGAGTGGAACCTCCCCAAGTGCGGGCCCTCATCTCTGCGGTAGTCAGGAGCAGCTCTCAAACACCGTTCACAGAGTGCTTTCCCACCGTCCTCACTGGGTCAGACGCACACCAGCTCTGTGCTGAGAGCTCGTGCTGCTCAGTGGTGGAGTGGGTCCCCTAGCACTGGGGCAGGGCCTTTCTGCTGGGCCTTAGCCCCCAGCACTGCGTGTCCCTGGTGGGTGATATGAACACAAAGGCCACGTTGTTGCTCCTTTGCCAGATGACCCCAGACTTGTGTGATTTTGGGGGTGGGTGCCTGCAGTTTTCCCCCTTTTGTGGTAACTGCTTACAGGCCTTTTGGTCTTCTGGTTTGTTCTTAGGTTCTCAGTTGCTCGCTAGAGCCTTGAGTTCCAATTTCTGTACTTTCTTTGATTTGCTGGTGATCTCTTTGACCCTTCTCCTCATCGATAAGAAAGAAAGGTTATTGGCAAACAGGTGGGTGTATCATGCTGACATTCTCTGGAGGGAGACAGACTGTTAACAAGAAGCAGGTGTGTGAGAAGATGTCAGTTGCTCTGAAGAAAGCGAAAGCAGAAGTGTGGACATGTGCGTGGGGAGTGATGGCCCCATACTCGCGCCCAAAGAGGCAGGGGGGCAACGGATTAGGGAAAGGATCCGTCTGTGTGATGTGTGATTTTTGTTTAAAAAGAAGAAAAGAGGGAAAGGGACAAACCTGTCTCTAATATGGCCAAATGTTGCTTTTGTTGACTCTGGGAGAGGTGAGTATATGTGTTACTCTCTGAACTTTTCTGTGCTGAGATATCTCATAATGAAAACAGTGTGAAAAAAAATGGAGGGTATATGCAGTTTCAGGTTCCTGTCAGTGAGCCCTGGATGAAGGAGGCCCTGCCGTGTGAGGCCCCGCCGTGTGAGGCCCCGTGCCAGCGCCCTGCTCACTGCTGGGTCTTCACAGGCCGTCTGTGCTGGAGCACAGGATCTGCTCTGAGGCCCTGTCCTGAGCTGGGCAAGTGCAGGGCCCTGCCCCGTTTCTCACCACGGCCCAGGGACCAAACATGCCGGACATTGAATTGGGTTCTGCTTCCACTCATCACCATCTTCCGCTTTTCTCTAACCTGGCCTCTTTTCAGGCAGTGAAGTGTGGTGGGACATGTCTGGCCTGGTAATCAGGAGCTGCGCGTCTGGGACTGTCCCTCTAGAGACTTTGGGCAGGTGGACTTCTCCAGGAAGCCTGGCCTTAGCAAGGAGTGTGCCTGCATTTTTAGGCTCCAGAGAAAAGCAGACTCATGGGGCTTTAACAGATTTAGAGCAGAGGACTTGCTTGGGTTATTTAGGAAGGCAGGTCAGAGCCTCGGTCACTATAACGGGCGCCAGACCCAGGTGTTAATTCCACCTGGGTCTAACTTCATTCATTCCTGGGTCTAACTTCAGACTGCAGGGCTTGGGCGTGGGCTTTCTATGAAGAGCAGGATGTAGCAGAGGCTATCTATCCGAGGAAAGGGGGTCTTTCTCCTTACCTGTACCCCAAGTCTGGAAAGGACTCCCAAGCAGGATGCTTATGGATTGGGAGCAGACCCTAGAGAGCCCCTAGGCTAGGCCACAACCCCTCCCACAGCCTCCTTTGGCACTGGGGAGAAAGAGGTGACCTTCTATTCTACTGGAAGGATGACCTCTGAGGTCAGTCACCAGCAAGCATCCAGATTACTTGGCTCCTGGAAGGTGATAACAGCCTGCTTCTTCAGTCCAGGTCAGCCTGAGTGGAGCCCAGGTGACAGGTGGGAGGCTCTGTGGGCACTAGCCTTTCTGAAATGTCCTGAAAGAAGTGCAGTGCCTTCTCTGGGCTGCCTTTGGCCAAGGGCAGCAGGACAAGGCCTTGTGGAGAATACACCTCTTGAGTTAGGTCTGGAATCTGAGTGGTGGCGTGTGGGTAGCAAAGGCCCAGAGCTGGGAACCTGTGGTGTGAAAGGGTAGGTGGTATAACCTCTTATTGGGGGAACATGAACAAACATCATCCCGTGCCTCTAAAGCCCTGCTCATGAACCCCAATCCTAGCTTTATATAGTGTCGCTGGGGGCTCCTTCCAATCTGAGACCTGGGGCCCAGCCTGGATGGTTGAGGCTAAGTTCTCCCTGATGCTCCCCGAACCCAGCCCCTACCAGGGCAAGGTTGGGGGGCACCTTCCCCACCTTTTCCTCCCCACTTTCTCCTCTTATGCCCTGATATGGAGTCCTCCCACATTGTCACCCAGCTTGGAACTCTAACCACTGGATGACCCTGTAAGTCTCAGCTCCCTGTGTGCCCCTGTCAACCAACAGAGCAGGATCTGCCTGCCCTAGGAACCCTCTGGGTCACTCAGTGTCCCTTGCAGAGGCCTGGTGGCCAGTTTCGCTGATTGGTGTAGCTAGTTCATCATGCACTTTTTTTTTTTTTTTAACTTAAGGACTTGGGGAAATAACAAATGTTGAGGAGATTCTTGGTTCCACAGCAGGCCCTGAAATTACAGGAACTAGGCAGATGGAGTCAGCTCAGGATTTGGAAGTAGGTCCTGGATTTGAGGCCAGGCCCTGCCGATTATTAGCTCTCTGACCCTGGAGCAAGTCACATTGCCTCAGTGAGCCTCAGTATCTTCACCTGAAGACGGGAAGAAAAAGAAAACTTGCTTCACTTAATGAATAGAACAAATGCCATACCTGGGGCTTTGGGGCAGAAGGAAGACACTGTGAGGCCCTCCTGAGAGAGCTGAAGGACCTTGAAAAGGCAGAGTTAACTTTTATATAACTTATCTAACTTTGCACATAAGGCAATAGTTGGGAAAACAGTGAGGTAGATGGATGAGAGTAGAAATAAGCATATGTGACCAAGAAGTTAATGATTAGGAACCACTTTGTAGAGCCTCATTTATTTGGTACATTAGATAGTCCTTGGAAATAAGCTGTGTGGCCTCATTCTGCAGTTCCATTTGTCTAACCAGATATACTGCGGGGCCAGGGTTCGTGGCTGAAGAAATGGGAATGTACAGTTGGATTGGAGTGGGCACCCCAGGACCTTGTACCCCTCCAGCCATCCGGAAGGGTCATCCCCTGCCTCCCTGCCCCTGCCCCACTGCCTGAGGAGACCTTTTTAGAATTACTTTGGCTGCTCTGTTTCCTTTGCCTTTCCTTGTACATTTGCTCAGTTTGTTAATATCTAGGGAAAAAAGCTTGCTGGGATTTTGATCAGAATTGCATTGGATCTATAGGTGGAAATTCCTTTTTAAAAGTTTTATTCCTTTCCTAGGATAAATCCTATCCCATCCCCATACAACTGAATCGCCATCAGATCAGCGTGAGCTTCAGCAGGTCGCCCAGCCCAGGCCAGGCTGTGGGAAGGAGGGATGTGTTACCACCCCCAGAAGGGCCCTGTTTCTCTGGGCTGAATCTCCTCTGGCCCAGCCAACCTTCTTGTGGCTAACCCTGCAGAGGCATTGATGGCTCATCTCCAAGGCAGCTCCCTCCCCCGGCCCCCTGCTTACTGCTGAGACAAGGCGCGTGCCCTGGAAAGCTGGAGGGGCACTCAGGTCAGCTGCTTTTGTTGTTTTTTTTTTTTTTTAAGACCTCAGTCACTTCCTCCTGATGGCAGGCTGGCTGCTATGTGCCATGAGGTGTGTCTAGGGTAGGGTTTCACTGGTGCCTGCCTTATGGGAAGGACTGTTGGGTGGGGGCTGACAGGTGGGAGAAGAAGGGAGGTGTTACACCCTCTCTGGCATGTTACACGGGCAAGTCCCTATCCCCCAACCCCCACAGCCACCGCCTCCCTGTGGCTTTGGATCAGGGTCTGCACACTGCTCAAGCAGTCACCATCAGGGACAGTGGTTTGCCCTGGAGGGGGTGTCACACATTGCAGAAGAAACTA